ATCTTAACCCACATGAGCAACCAAATGGTTACAAACCATAAGATCTTAAACCACAAAGACTAAGAAACATGACAAACGAGGGAAATACATATTTCTCCCTCTTCAAAGCCCCTTTGGCTAACAAACTAGAACTAAACAAGCTCTTTTATTCACAACAAAGACATAAGAATTGAACTATTCCATAAGAACATAAATATAAGAAACAATAGCTGCAACCACCAGTGGAGGATCTGCCTTGGATGTTAGCAACCTTACCACGGAGAGACCTCAAGCAACAAGACACGTTAGCATCCCCTTCCTTGATCATCATTTACAAGCTCCACCTTACTGCCTTAAAGTCTGTCTCCTCCTTGTTGTCTACTTTGTCAAAAGCCTCCTTCCAATTGTGAAGCTGCTGTTGGGGTTCTATTAGAAATGTCGTATTCGTGTAAGTCACAGATTTAAAGTCTGCGAAAATGTTGTTATTCGAAATTTAACAACCACAATTCAACGTAATTAAAGCAGAGAAAATCAAGGTTTTGTATTTCTTGCTATGTTCTAATTGAATACAAGATGTCAGTATATGTTATAACCGAGATGAAGCTTCATTCCGAGATGATTTATTTTTAATATGAAAGCAAATCTGGAGCAATTATCTTGATAACCTTCATTTTGGTGTGAGCGAAGTTGGTTGTTAACAGAAAGATTAAGCCTAAGCGCAACAGACAAGAGTTAGAATCAAATACTCACGGCTTAAAAAATCGCAGGCTCTGAGATGTTTCTATTTTCCGTTTATGGTGATTGTCTGATCGCTCGTTAACCGTCGAAATTGGAAACAGGTGGCTGTTAGTGTTATATACTGAAAGTGTAACGTCCAGTTATTTTAATAAAAAAATGCCGAATTATTTTTTAAAAAATCAGAGTTAAATTTTTGCAAATCAATTTAAGACTATATTTAACGGGCGCTACTCAACATTTTATATATCAACAGTTAAGTCAACACTTAAACTCGCGGGGAATACAACCTTCCCGATAAACATCTCATGCCAACAAATAGCATGCCTCGACAATTATTTAATCATATGAATAATCCCAATTCATAACTCCAAAACAGTTATTTAAATTCATAGTCAGCATGCATAAAAACCAAATACAAGGTTCAGTCTCCAATTTCAATAATAAACATGCCCGACAATGAGATAAATAATAAATAAACAAGCGGAAGCAGATAAAACAGTTCAATATCAAATATATGACCCACCTCGCTCGTCTTTCGCCACAACCACCAGCTCAACCTGAAAAGAGATATAATAGTGGGGGTGGGCGAACACTTGCTCACCGTGGGAATATCATGCAGTATAATCAATATAATGACTTAAAATCATAATCCCAGCATGAACACAAATCGACTAGTATACCCCCCTAACATAGCCCTACGCTCATGTGATCACACCTAAACCGTCAATACAACAAAGACCGGATTACCTGTCAATACAACAAAGACATGAGCAAACTGTCAATACAACAAAGACAGGAGCAAACCGTCGATACACCATCGCAGAGTAAGCTCTATAAAGGCTAGAGTTAGGCCTCATTAACTATCGGTTCACATGCATACATTGATTATCAAGCCAATCATTAATAGAAATTAACATACATGGTAAGGTTTATCAACACCCACCTGACAAATCGAGATAGGCGAGAATAAATGATCGGTAGTAGGCAGAGGCTCGACTCTTCAAACACCTACATTTAAGCAAGATAATATATATCAATAAACTATCTCATTACTCGAAAATAGAAGAAATACCACACTTCATCAAAATTAAGGATAGAGGGTTTTAATCGGATTTTTTGTGGAATTGGAACTCTCGAAAATTTGAAAGAAAAAGACTCGGAGAACCAAAATAGGGTCTCAAGACTTAAAATAATTTTTCTGGATTTTTCTCATTTGAAAATGATTTTTAAAAT